AAAACAACGATGCTGGAACCTACGACGTCTTTTATACAGAGGACTGTTTCTCTGTGAAGAGTGCCCGGACGGTAAGCTGACCCCTCATCTCTGCCTAGTTAAGAGTTGAAACGCGAACTTATTCAGCCCGGCCAGTTAATACGGTGTCGCTTTTTCACTGTACAGATTAGAAGAATAAAAGCCAAGATTTTGACGGAACTTTCGAGTCCCTAGTACACGTATTGCAGCCTACTGTTTTTCATTTACCAATACTGAATGCCTGCCTACAAGCTGGTATGAGAAAGTGGGGCGGATTCACCTATAATTCGTGTTAGAATCTTTCAAAACCACGAGAACACCAATCATAGCTTAATTTACGGTCTCAGATTTTTTCTAATAATATGTTTTTGATATAAGTAGTTACTATAGGATTCTGACGATGGTGTATAACACATAGAGATATTGGGTTTTCAAACTTTATCCATCGTCCTGGTTTTAAGATAACTAAGAAAAACACGACGTTTCGGAAACTGCATCTGTTTCCGTCTACAGGTGAAGGAAAACACCTATTCTGTTGGGTCCCTTAGAAAGGTCCAGTGAGTCTAAGGGGCCCAATATAATAGGTGTTTTTCCTCACCTGAGGACGGAAACAGATCCAGTTTCCGAAACGTCGTGTTTTTCTTAGTTATCTTAAAACCAAGACGACGGATAAACTCCGAAAACCCAATATATCTATGTTTTTATATAGTTTGGTACATCTACAAAGCATGGTCAGTCAGTAAGAATAACTGACAAGCACTTAAGTCTAAAGCTGTTTTAAGTACAGCGTATTTCTCGCGACGCTCTATAGGCCACGGTCACATCGAAATATGCCCCCATTCCATTATAAAAGTAGTTGCCCACTCATGATGTCTCGTTAAGAGCTTTACTTCAAATATTCATAGTGACTTGTTGAAACTCAGAAATGTGACTTGCTTAGAAAAGTAGGCTCTCCCTTACTGAACATCACTGTCTTAACCATAATACGTGAATTAAAAATTCACCCAGCTCAAATACACGATCATGTTAACTTTTGCTGAAACATTCATAATATACACAAATTTGTTGGTTTGAATGCATCTTGGTCATTTAACGACACTGAGCCAACTGAATAGTTTATACAGAGTCAAATGTGGGCATTTTTACCTGCAAAGGTAACACACGTCTAGAACATTTTTCAGTAATTTTTGTATCACAGTTCAAATAAAGATATTTAAATAGGTATATATGTATGTATGAATACATGTTTCTTTTTTGTATGTTTTAACTTGTATCACGGTATTGTCCTTTCACTCGCCTAGAGGGAAGGAGAAAAATAAGGAAACCTCACCCAGGATAATCTGTTTCTAAGCCGGAATTAATCCAGGTCAGGCGGTCCTGAGGTTCTTGCTGATTTTCCTTACATTCCGCAGCCAATGCTGATGTAACCCTTTCAGGCCTCGAACTCTCCACTGTGACGATCGGGACATTGAAATGATGAAGATAAAAGGAGGATAAGAAGAACAAGTTTGGAAACCAAGATTCTTTCTTGTTGTCTCCATCCCTGCGGTATTCATAAAACTATCATGTCACAAAGAATGACCTTCCATAGTGGCTTGCCTGGATGATATCTCATTTAGACCAGGATGGACTCCTTCAAGATCCTTACTTGCTCACAATTCTTTGTCATTTCCCATACAGTTAGGCCCTAGGCTCTATGGCTTGTAGATATTAAATAACGTTGTTAATAAGTTAAGAATGCACACGTTTATTAGAATCGAATATGTGCACAGCGATTTTAATTGAGCCCTTGGATGTTCGTGGTGTGGACAGTGTTGCCAATATTTCGGAGTGTACTTAACGTTACAGCAGTCACTGACTGCTTTTTGGTGCACTCTTTGGTCCTTAGAAAGCACTCTTTCTCTCCTATCATAACTTTTCCTGTCCACTATTCTTGTAGGTGTAGACGGGACACCAGTCCCACTGTACTCCCCGCCCTCGTAGTTCTTTCGAAACATGAACCTTCATATGCGCAGAATCTCGTTGCCCTTAAACGTGTGGGCAGCATGTATCTCTGAAATCTCGGCAACACTGCCTACATTCACGCTGCGTAAACGCTCAGGAATTGAAATAGAATCGACTGTTAAGCCTAAAATCAGTAATCTACCTAGTAATTCTTAAGTCTTACCTCTGTGCTAACCAGCTAGATTGCAGTGACCACTGTTGCTCCTCCCGCATCCTACAGAATGCCTGTGTCTGTTGGTGTAGGTTAGAGTCGCCCACCCGGTCACTAGAAGTGCGCGCCCCACTGGGGGTCCTCATGGAATCCCGTGCCGGGGACATCAGCGCTTCATGCTTGACGGATCTCAAACTTCAGTCCGTTGCCGGAGCGGTAAGTATGTTGAGAACATTCAAACCCTAGAAGTCAGTAAACGAGAAATATCGTTTAGAAACAATACACTTTTCTGACTTGAACAGAACTTCAACAGCAGTTAGGAAGCAAATTGCTTCATGCCTGCTTTTTGCTCGGCTTATTCTTAGGCGACATGTTCCTCTGGAACGTGTTATATACCAGTAGCTAAATTCTTCATAACCGCCGTTGTGAGAACAAGTTGTATAAATTTCTAATAACTGTTAGTTTTATTCAATGAAAATTATAAGTTACTGTGAAAAGTAAATAAATTGTTTTAGTTTGTTTCAAAATTCAGTATGGAAACATTTACTTTGGGTTTTCATTTGACAGAGAAATCAGATGAACTCATAGGCCTGCCGAAGAAAGATAGTGTGTAGTCGTAAAAAAATATAAATTTGTGTAATGCCTCAGCTGCGTCTGCGCAGAGGGTGCATAGCAATGAGAAGGTAGAGCAAGTTCTTATCGAAACAATACTGTGAGAATGCAAATGGATTTCGTGTGGCAAAAAGTATTTTCTCACTGGTAGTAGGTGATCATGATATTGTTTATATATTTAAATTGATTATGGTAGTTAGTGTTCAATTTGAAACAACTGACGTGAGTGTAGTTTCCACGCAGAATCAGATATTGGTCGTGACGGGTTTGGGCTGGAAGCATTGACACAGTCTGACACTGGTTTCATCCAACATGACCAACACAACTTGCCAGCGGCTCTATAATATTTCGTTGCAAGTTATTTTCACAACTTTCAAAAAATTAACATGTAATATGTAGGTAGTGTATGTCTAAATTTTCAGGTTTCAGAACTGAAAGTACGCGACAGAATTCGATGAAATTTATTTTTAGAATATACTCTAAAAAGTGACAGATAAATTTAACTGTGGTGAATACCTGTTACATGTATATAATCCCATTTTAGACGAAGCACAGGGTTTGTTTAATAAATTTATTATATGTGGCTCTCTGTTAAAAAATGCTTGATATAAAATATAATTGCACTTCATTTAGATCTACAACTTTTATTTTAAATATTTTTAGTGTCACGAATATTAAAAAAAAACCAAGGAAACCTATTTTACTTTTATGTGACTATTCTGTAGTGCGATTAGGTTTGCAACGATAGATTTATGTTTACAATAAACGAAAGTTAAGAATAAATAGGTATTAAAATAGCAAAGAAACTCTTTTTTAGTCTTTTCTTTATTGTTAATATCAGAAGGAAGGCTACAGAGACCCATCAGCTTTTCTTAGATCTAAGTTATGAAACCATACTGAGCCATTAAAAGGAAAGCTTGTGTGTTTATAAATGGATTGCGTGCAATTAACGTATAATTGGGAGGTCAGATCCATCTATCCTTCCGTCCCCATATTTCATCAACTGCAGTAAGTACCGGTTTAGGATTTCAATGATAATTGATATCGGTTAATCAGATATCAATAGAATTTAATTTTGGTTCGTACATCTATCATAGCTCCTACTTGTAGCTCAATTCTAAATTCATAAAATTTAATAAAAGCGAATATTCCTACAAAAGAACAAATACCTGAAAAAAAACAGTTTTCATTAAATTATACAATTTCTGTTTTAAACATTTCCACATATGGCGGGCATTTAATAACAAAATACAGGTAAATCTTATTTACGCCGCCGTTCCACCAATACTCGCTTTGTTCTGAGACCTGCTTATTGCTCTTGATTCATTTCAGTGAAACAAAAAAATTGCTGAATTATGGGAAAAAATTTTAACTCTGTTACATTCGGACATTATAATTTTACGCCCAGAATTAATGTAAGACCCTGTTGATAACCACGTGCCCTCCATTTCTTTTAATTAATCTACATAAATCTCCAAAATTCTGAAGTGAAACCCACTAAGTGTATGCTTATTTCATAAACAATTCAATGATAATAAGTATGATAATAAAAGTTTATATTATATAGCTAATGTAAGATGTATTAGCAATTTACTATCTGACTTGCACATTTAAAATTCATTTCATTAATTGTTACAATGTGATTTTACTTTATATATATATATACAACAGATCACAATAACCGAGTTTACCACAGAGAAATAACCACGCAGAAACATGATTTTGTAGAGCTAAGAAAATAAGTCTTATTTATACGCGTTTGCAGATCACATGGAGTCTTACACTAATGTCACTGAATCAGGTCATCCTGTACAGGAAAAAGTAATGTAGATCTATGTATGTCTCAGTGCAGTGTAGTTTCAACGAAGTTTACCCATTCTGTGCCTTCAATGAATGAAGCTTAGGTCTAATTATGAAAACTATATGTCTAGGAGTACACCTTTCCATTCAGCAGATCTGTATTTCAGGTACGACTAGATTCGGCCAATGTGTACCTGTCAGGTTTGAAAACTGCTACCCCTACGCCTCAACCACCGCCCTCCAGGGGGCTCCACCCCACACGGCACGAGATCTATCAGCTGTGTGTATGCAGCAATGGGAAGCTATTCCTGGCGCCTCCCGAAGGGCTGTGTGCTGCTGACAACGACAGCAGTGTGTGTCGGTGATGAGACTATGTGAACTACTTGTAGCATTTTCAGGGGTACAGTGCTGAATTTCATTGTTCCTTGTGAGCCTCTTCCTGCCCGAAGTTGTGACAACAGTGCCCGTCCCTTGTGAACACGGTACAACTGGTACGCGTGTTTCTGAACGTAGTGATACTCTGTTCCAATTCGTTTTGGTTACACTGCAACTCCTGCCTATCCCTCTCGAAAATTCTTCAGTTCTTCTGTACCGCATTGATCCTTCTGAACTTACATCTTGACAGTCTAGAGAAACTTCTTGCCTCGTGCGACCGCAATGCAGAGTCTCGAAGTCCCTTGTGAATACACGCAATTCATTGTCTCCCTGTCTTTATTGAACGCATTTCAGCTTCTCCCTTTCCTTTATGAATGCGTGGCCGTTTCTTCCTGACACTTACGAACGCATTGCAGCTCATCTGTGTCATAAAATAAACCGTCGCACAGCCTTACAATATAAAAACCTTACTGTTTTGATTTATTTTTGCATATTTCGACCGTAAACGGTCATCATCAGGCGTCGTAGACAAATCAGACAAATATGTATAGACAAGTATGTATCTGTTGAAATGTGAAGATGTGTAGAAGTGTAGGTAAAGTTATAAAATACAAGTCCGTCCAATGTGACTATTTCAGTTTTCTCACTTGATGATTCACTAGCCTGACATGTTTCGATCCATTTGGATCATCTGCAGAGGCACCAAACACTTTTTTGAAACCACTATCACAACAGTTGTCAATCAAATACACATGTAATGTCCAAGTACACAATGTTCCATCTATCAGTCACAGCAGCCTTTCTGGTTATAGAAATATTTAAAGTTGTTTTAAAGTTTTAAAAACTGTAACAGAAAGGCTGCTGTGACTGATAGATGGAACATTGTGTACTTGGACATTACATGTGTATTTGATTGACAACTGTTGTGATAGTGGTTTCAAAAAAGTGTTTGGTGCCTCTGCAGATGATCCAAATGGATCGAAACATGTCAGGCTAGTGAATCATCAAGTGAGATAATTGAAATAGTCACATTGGACGGACTTGTCTTTTATAATTGTAACTGTTAGTGTGACGGACCAAAATGAAACAAATAAAAAAAGTAGATAAAATGTTAGTCATGAATTGGGTCTGGGGCGCGAGGTAGCATAGTTGGTTGAGGCGTTATGTAACGGAAGGTCGCGGATTTGAGTCCCGATGTGGTGGAATTTTTTTAGTTTAACTGATCCTTCCAGCCGCATTATGGCCCTGATGTCGAACCTGCCTCTAACAGAAATTAGTGCCAGAAATCTTCCTGGGGGGTGAAGGGCAGCCGGCGCGTAAGGCTGACAACCTTACTGCCATCTGTGAGCCGATTGTCTACAGAAAATGTGAGAGCCTCGACGTCTCACAAACCTACGGGCTTTCACGACCTGTTACAGGGATAGCTTTACCTTTACCTTGAGTAAGATTGGAATCGACTTCATTTTACAAGGACGTGAGTATAAAAATTATAGCATTTGTTAAAAAGTAAATGTTTTCGAACCTAGTTACATGTTTACTCTTTGTTTCAAATTGTTATACGTATCTTGGAACTTACCATTCTTATATCATACTTTCATATTCTGTGTAATGATTTCTTTGTTAATTCAGGTTAAATTATAAATTTTAATTTACATCTGTTGGTGTCTGTTTTGTATATATGGAACAATATTTACGGCTCTTTTCGGTGGTGAGTAGCCGGAATTGACTGACGTAGTTAAATGTTTGTCTTTGAAGACATTGTCGTAGTACAGTGTACGTCCTTGAAGACTGATTGATGTGAAACTTCTATTCTTGAAGGCAGGATTGTTGTGTTGAAGGGACTGATATACGTGGTATATATCGTTGCCTTCAGCATGTATGTCCTGCCTTCAAGAGCAGGCATTTTACTACATCAACGAGTCTTCAAGAACCTACATTGTACTAGGTCAAGATATCTGCCCTTATCTTCAAAGACAAACATTTCACTGCATCATTCATCTTCGGCTACTCACCACCAGAATGCACCAGAAAGATTGTTCCAAATACCCTATTAAAAAACAAAGTAACATAAAACTGAAATTAATAATTAACCTGGTTTAATCGGCAAGGCTATGCACGGAAACTAAAATTGTAATATAAGTATGCCAAGCTTCAAGTTACACATAAAATTTCGAAATAAACGGTAAATATATAACCCCTTACGCTGGAGAAATTATATTTATTGCTCATGTGTTAGAAAAATTTAGTATGATCCGACCCATTTCATTATCATTTTATCCAGATTTTTATACATATTCACAGTGTACCAAATTTGTTCTTACATTCTATGTGTACTTGCTTGACACATGCACGTCACCCGTTGAACACCGTCTATAGTTACGGTATAGTAAGAAATAAAAAAAAAACAAGATGGTTTTCCTAATGTAAGTTTGTGTTACTGTTTATTTCATGACTTACAAATAACCACAAAGAGACTGCATTTTTATAGAACGTTGCAGCTCATCCTTGTCCCTTCTGAACATAGTATTTTCACTCCTGCCTTTGTTGTGTGAACACAATGTAGATTTTCCCAGGCTCAGTTCACATCATAGCTTCCCCTGTCTCATGTGAACACAGGGAATCTTCCTTGGCTCAGGTGAACGTATTATAGCTTCTCCCTGTCTCTTGTGGACGCGCTGAAGCTTCTGCTTGTATTTTGTGAACACATTGTAGATCCCTCCTTTCGCTCGTGTACACATTATAGCTTCTCCTTGTGTTCTGTGAATGCACTGAAGATTCTTCCCTTGCCTTGTGAGCCCATAGAAATTTCTCTTTGACCTTGTTCAGTCCGAGGTAACTTCTCCGTGTTTCTAGCTTCTCCATATTTCATACCTGCAGTGGCCTGAGAGTCGGTCCTTTCCAGTCCCTAGTGCACACTGTACACGCGCAGTACCCAATACGGCATGCACTTGTAATGTCTTGCTGTGAAAACAGTGCCTGGTTTAGTTCATCCCTTGAGAACACTCTGCTCCTTGTGAACACGGTACAAACAGTTCCTTTATCTCGTGAAAGCTGAATGTTATTTTCCTGAGCACGTCCCGGCACCCTGCATCCGCGCAATTCAATCTCTCCCGAACTCCGAACATAGTGAATTCTCCCCCTCGTGAGAACAGTGATCACTAAACCCCGTCCCTTGTGAATTAACTCTACATATTATTCATCATAGTGTGAATATATGCGCTGTGTAAGTAGTGACTGTGTGAAACCTTAGTGGGAAGTAGTGCCATAGACTTTCTACCATCGAAGGGCAACCCTGAAGGAACAGCTACTGCCGTCGCGTGAAACTTCCAGACAGCTATCGTGGTTCCATCTCCTCCTGCGAGTGTGGTGCAGTTCATTTTTATGGATCGCGTTGTTATTTTTTACGGAAATTAGTGATTTTCTTTTATACCTTAAGCAACAAAATTGAGGCTTTGCAGTCCGTATACGTCCTTGAGGTTTCAGAAAGGAAGATTCGGTTTAATAAAATATCATTACATGCCACATTGAGACGTTTTGATTTACATTGCAAGTTGCATCCATCATACTAACAGGAAGATGACAGTACAAAAGATGAATTGAAATGTCTTCTAACAGTGCCTACACCTGTAGATGGTACATTGTCAAAGCTTGTATCGGGAATAAGATTAGGAAACAAGTATAAATATTTGGGCAGTCATAGAAATTATACTGCGAACAAAATAGCGGCTCGAGACAAGGTACAAGTAATCTTCTCACCGCCATATTTCTTCTGAACCGCTTACTTTCTGAGTTTAGTTTCTTGCCGTATGTTAGCTACAGTACAGCTCCTGCAAGTGAGTTCTCTTATCTCTCTCTATCAGAGGGCATGTTTTTGTGAAATATCCTTTAATATCTTACATTATTTTGGGCCCATATTTCTAACGGCATAAGATCAAGACGGTAATAATTATCAGTTGGCTTACAATATGTTTCCAGGATTGCCAACATGCTGCATTCTCATTTCAGTCTTGGCACTAACGTCTGATGGCAGAGCAGGACTATCTGACTGTTATCAAATGATCATGAGCATAAAGGCAGAATCGGTTACTGGAATTGTGAATTAAAATATCAAATAGAGAACGGAAAGGAATTCTTCAAATTTGTATTTATATGTAACAGAACATATTCATGGCTATAATTAAGTGTTTCATCCTTTTTTTTTACTGACGCCCAAATTTATCCTTGGGGTCCTGACCTGTAGAGGTTTTCTGACTTATATTCACAGAAACGGAAGAACTCCTTGTATGGAGGATTGTACCCTCGTGAGATCTCTGCTAGTCCAAGATAAAGCAGAGAAATGTGAACAAATATCCATGCCAAGAGCGAATTTCCAATCACTGTCGCAGTGTTCGAAGGGATTCAAAGCCGCGCATTCTCTAGAATCGAGTAATTAAGTTCCAAAAATGTCATCCCGTTTTGGGACCGCGAGGAACTGAAACTTTCTTGACTGAAACTGTTGTATTGCTCCGTGGACAGCCATTACATGATATAAGTTTAATTTACGACACCAAATCAAGGTGGATGTGAAATAGTAAGGAGAGCAACAATAGAATATTCATTCAGTGTAGACTGTGTGTAGATCATCACTGCGAAGAGTTATAATTGTCTGTGAAGCTCGCTGTTGTGTCAGACATGGCTTAGTTTTATTTAGAAATGAGCTTCTTAACGAAAATATAATTTCGAGACCTCTGGGATAATTGAAATGTTAATGTCTGAGAACAAGTGTGTGTTGTAACTTAATTATAATGTAAGCAAATTGAAGTTTTGCTCATAGAGGAATGAGATTAAAGATAAATCATTAATACAGTATGGAAGAAGATAAAGCAAACTGCTGTATTCTTTGTTATGCCTCTTCCTGATTACACGTCATTATATCCTCAATTCTGCTTGCAGTGTTAGAAAGAAATATTTCATCACCACGAAATTATTCCCACAGAGACAGTATTGAGCCATTCATTTAGAGTGTGTGATATTATTTGCGGTTGATTATAAGAACAGGCTCACTTCGTTTTAATTAGACAGTACAGAGAAGAAATATTTAGTGTACTTAATTTATTATATACCACTACAAACCTCAGTGCTTTGAGGCAATTGTGTGTTAGATCTGTAATAAACGTTTCAACCATTTCTTTCCATAAGAATAATTAACGATTGTTCGACGTTATATAACGTCCAGCAGTTGATAAGTCATCGAAAAATAAATTATTGACTGAAGACTCAATGATTTTCTCATCTTCGGTTTCGATTCGATTTTACATTTGCCATCCATAGCAAATTTATAAAGTAAATTTTGGCCTTTATCTATCTGAAATAACATATACTTAATATGAAGCTCTAATTATTTTCTCTCCAGCTCACAAGACACTGGTTATTACCATAAAATATCAAACCATTTGAAATATACAGCTTGTGTTTCAAGTATCATCGAATGTAAAGCAGAGGAAACACTTTACTTCAATGTGTCATATCTGTGTTTTGTACTGCAAGGCACTTGTTTCTGCAATAAATTAGTATCAAGTCCAGTTGCATATGCAGAAATGAAAGAAAACACATTGGAAATTTATGGACCTTGTAATATAATAAAATACATCATTGCTTTTTTATATTATGGTCCTAAATGGAAAACAAAT